TATATATATGTATATGTACTTTTTGACTTTTTAAAATCGCAGTATAAACGTATTTTATATGGGTCGTGTAATTCACTCGAAATTCTATTAAGAAAGTATATTTTTAGTACGTTTAATCGCAGGACGAATTTGAAAAATTCCACATCTCTGGTAGACACTTTTGGTTGTTACAACATTTATACCAATATGCGCTATCAGCAATCGTGTATGTACTATAAAACAACGACAGATACTTTTGGTTTGATGTGTCCTATAAATTCAGTTTGACAATAACTTCATAATACGGAACTCACCTTTTTTCAAATCAACCAGTTCCATAACATTCTGAAGTATGATGGAGGAGGTCGCGGCACAGACCTCACTGGTCAGTTTGCGGACGTCGACTGGGGCTTTAGACCAAGACGCCCCGAGGTCCCTCGACGCCATCTGCTGCTGAACTTCCACAGGGGGAAGGCTGCAGATCGCCCTTTGCATACTCCGTGGGGCTATTCCACGAGTTGCCAACTGAAACGGATTTTCCAGTTGTAATTGTTAGAAATAACGTTTAAAATATTGTACGTAATATTACAGATTGTTATTTTTCTGTTTGATATCATAGTGTAAGAAGAAAATAGAATGTTCGTTCTGTGTTATCAACCTCTTAAAATTTTAAATGCATGAAAACTCACATTAATACTTAAATTTCACATTTTTTTCGTTATTATTAAAAATCACCTTTCTTGTATATAATATGTTATTATTGAGTTAAAAATTTTAGTATTCAAGACGGATAATACATTTTCGCCCTGTCCGTTCCAGATCCAATTGAAAAATACGACGTAAATCAGTGTGTGTAGTTTCCTTCCTTTGAAAAATAACTCAATTATTTTTTTCTTTCTTAAGCAACAATATTTAAGTGTATTCCTCGAGAGAAAATCGAAATTATTTTTTCATTTTACAGAACTAGTTTTACACCTGATTTTGAATTCGCATCTTGAAAAACATTTTCTGATGAATATTGATTTATATTCTTGCACTATATTACGTCTTTGGAACGCTGAATCCTTTCCTAATTCCGCCAACAGTTTTCCCAAGCTGAGAACTCCTATAAATTTCCTGCTTGCCATCTGCCAACTGCCTGACACATTATACAGTTAACCGCACATTAAACGCTTTTAACGAAGCGGTACATCGCTGCGATACCTCCAACCTATCAGCAGCGGTGATCTGATTGCCGGCCATTCATATGATGATACGCACGGCGAGCACACGGCCGAATGACGAATGCGTTTGCTGCCCCATCACGCAGGATACCTCCGAGCCGCGGTATTCCCACAGAGTCCGCTGTCCCACTTACGTCAAAAGACACCCTTCGCGGTGGAACGTCACCACCGTGTCCAACGCGGTCAAACATTGTATTGCGTCTGTCAGTCGGAACCTTCACCGCTTGCATGCAGCTACCCTTCACATCGGGCGCCTACTGGTAGAGAGTGACACCTTAAAAAATTACTTTCTTCTTTTTCATTCCTATTTTTTTGTACCCCTATCCCTTCTCCATCCCCTGAAAAAGTTCTTGGCGGCGACCACAGAATTAGAAACCCGTTCCCCTCCCCCCCAGGGAGGTACCCCTCATTATCTCCGCGGCCCCTCTTCAGCCCCCTGGTTGGGTGGAACCTTAGGGGGGCTCCTCGTGCCCCCTCTCCGGCGCCCCGAGGCTCCCCACCACGCGGGGCGTCCCCCGTTTCGGCCATTATTTCGACTCGAAAAGGCTCGCCGGGGGAGGGGGAGAGGGGGAGGGACATCGCCTGACGCCGCCGCCGTCGCCGCCACCAAAATGGCCACACGCTAAAACTCTAGCGGGCAGCGGAGTCGACCCATCGCCAGGCAGCGGCAGTCAGTCAGGGGGCAATTTTCTTTCCCCCTCCCGAGCCCCCACGTGTAGCCCGAGGGCTATCGGGGAATTATCAACATTAGGCGCGCCGTGCGGAGGGTTCGGGTTAGTGAAGGAGTGGCGGCCAGACGGAGCGGCCGCGCGCTCCAGCAGTGCGTGCTCAGTGCGTGCGTGGGGCGTCGCCACGAGGAGAGCATCGCGTGCCAGCCTACCTAGTCTAGTCACGACCTAGTGAGCGCATTGCCGTCGGTGGCCGGGCTTGCCGCGCCGGGAAGTGCTAGTGCTTTTGCCTTGCAGTGTTGTCAGTCATGTGTGCGTTGCTTGTGAAGTGCTCTGGTGAATGTGGTGTTTATTGTGTGTTTATCAGTGCAACGTGTGAGTTTTGTGTCAAGTGGTTTATCGTTCTGTGAAAACATTGTCTCTTTCACTTCGTCAAGGTAATTTTATAATATGTTATGATATTTTATAATACGATATAATATTTTATGAAATTTCTCATATTTCTATGAGTCAGACTGTATAATTAATCCTAATGAATATACTTTAATTGTATACTTCCTACCATTAAAAAAATAATAATGTAAAATGAATAATATTTACATTTTATTTCTCTATTAAAGAGAACTACAGTAAAATACTTGGTATTAAGAAGATATAGACATTTGCAATAAAATATTTTTACAAATTTGTGTACTAAACGCAATTACAGGATTATAGGTGGACCTTTGGTATAAATATTACATCTAAGTGAACATGCCTAATATTTTTAATACGTTTCTAATTTATCTTTCTTTTTTTCATTGCAGTTTAAAAAATGACGGACATTCATAAAGCTATTCTCATTTATAGTAATTTATTATTATTATTATTATTATTATTATTATTATTATTATTATTATTATTATTATTATTATTTTAACAACATCGTACTTAGTAATAAGATTTGATAAGTGTATTGAAATAAACATTTCGCATATTTCTGCATTATATTTGTACGAACTAATTTTTGAACTCTGAGTCTTGTGGTTTTGTCGGAAATGCTCATTTTGAATTGGAAATCAATGCGGAGCCTAAGGAATGCAACCTTGCAGCCTGGCATTTCTTCCGTGAAGTCCTCATTTGTTTCCACCCACATATCTACTCACGTGCTCAACTCGCGCCACTCCGTCGCTGCTGAGAGAGAGAGAGACAAGCATCGGCTGCCGGTCCTCCAAACCCCGCCGGCGGGCCTCGTACCTCCACCCCCGCCCCGCCCCCACCGCCGCCAGTCCCAGCGGCCACTGTCACCTGAACGCACAGCGGCGCGCGCTTTCTCGGAATGAATCGATCAGCGCCCCACGCGGCTCAGCCGTTCTTTCCCCCGGCGCCTTCGTGAAGCCGGGCGTCGCGCTGTCGCCGCCTCCGCTGCCCTGAATTATTCACAGAGCAACGCACTCCTGCAGAGGAGCGGCGGCGTGGCGACGGTTAAATTCACCACCCCACGAACGTCGCGATGATCGAGGAACAAATGCGTTGATAGAAAGGCGACAGGTTGCTGTTCGATCATGTTTGTTTCAATTATTTAACAATTAATTATTTGTTAATGTATATAAAATCACAATATTGTCAGCAAAATCAATAACTACAAACAACTACAAAGAATTTGACGTCAAATTACATTGATTCGATTGATTGATCAAACATTTCCTTTCTGATTATGTGTGGGTAGGCCTTAACTCCATCTTTTTTAACGTTGCTGTTTTATGGTAGCTATTTTAGAATTGCAGCAATACAGTAATATTGTTTGTTTGTAAACATTATTAACGATAGAGATACAGAAAAGTTCTTTTCATTACTATTATTATTATTATTATTATTATTATTATTATTAGTTTCAATTGAATTAAGTATGTTTGTTAGTAATATTTTTTTAAATTTTGTTAACCAATCCATTCTTTATTTCACAATATTTGCAGTATTTTGTTTCTCTGTGAATTGTTGATCTAAAGAGTTTTAAAATACCTCGCACGTGGCATTGGTGCCATTCTTTTATTTACATGTCAACACAACAAGAATTTAAAGAATTTAGAGGAAAGTTGGCAGTCACATGTGTGATTTCTGTCTCAATTCATTGCCCCCTTTCGCAAGAGTTTCGTTACTTTGATATTTACTTGAAGACAATGAGGAAATTGCCTACTCCTTATCATAGTGACTATCATTTAATGTCATAAATCGCGTTTGGAAAAGCGATAAAAGTAAGAGATTACTAAAATACGAAATTGAAATTAGTAGTTGAAACGTAGTTGAAATATATGTGTGAAAGTGTTTCTGCTCAGACGTTTTATTTTTAAATTGTATTCGTAACACAATCATGAGATTTTTGTCCTGCTTTAGTTTCTAACTGTTTAGCTTGCACTAAATGTATGTGCTACGCGTTCACGGGGGGCAGATGCGGCTTGGCCCATCCCCGAGTCCCGTCCTGCGCCGCCGGCGCTGGCAGCGCGGCGAGGTCGTCCCCGTGGGCCGCGCGTGCATCCGCCGGTGAACCGCACCGCCCCTGGCCCGGCCGCCGCGCCGCCGCCCCGCTTCGTCGCTCGGCGGGCGCCCCCGACTCGGGTGCCCGTAAATTTCAGGGCTCCAATCAAGGCGGCGCTGGCTGGCGCACGCCGCGAGATTCGCATTCTCGCACGGCACGTCTTTAATTATAGACAGCGGGCAGGGGCGGGGCTGGGCGGGGCGGGGCGGGCGCGACAGTGGCCGCGACGCCTGAAGCACCGACCGCGCTTCGGGACGCGCTCTAGGAATAGCTGCTGCCCGTTCCGCCCTCGGCGCCGCCAGGCTGCGGCCGCCGCGCCACCGCCGTCGTGGCCATCGACCACGGCCACGCTCGTATTTTTGCTGAGAATATCGAATCGAAATGCGAGTCGATATATCGCTTCCTTCCGGAATTTTATCGAGGGTTTTAAGTGGGATTTGAGTGGAAAGGGGTTTGTGGGCCGCTCGTTTTTCTCTTTTTCCCCCCAGAACGTTTGCTGTTCGAGACTCGTCATTCTGATTTATATTTACTGTGTGATTTATTTTTTTGTCTCCGAGGTATTTATATTAGAATATCTGGCCAGTTTCGAATCTAGATCTCGTTTTCTGGGTTGTGCGTTTAGACGTCGTTACGAACACAAATCGAGGTATTTCTAATCGTTTGATTGTGTTCGTGAGTTCAATCGTTGACTTTTCAATCGTTGGTGCTGCTAAGAGAAAGGAACTGCTGAAACGATTGAGCACAGGCGTAACCGCAGCCAATAATTAACGTCTGTCGTGTCTCGGCGATAAAGTAATTTGCAAAGGAGTAGTGTATTGACACAGCGTAACGCTGGCAACAGCGGCGGGGAGCCCGACTGAACAAACAGTGTTCTCTCACGGAAGCGCTGCTTTCACACCCACACACGCGTTGTCCCGCGACTTCTTAGCAGCATCCACCACCCACATATTTTCCCGCGAGTTTATCTCCGAATTACATTAAGGAAACAGTTTCGCTACCTAGCAGTGTTTTGTTAGAAACAGCGCACTTCCATTTTCCTGGTTAATTTTCTTCAATGCGTCGTATTTCTTCACTCCCATCTCCCACCGGCCCATAACTCATTCTTTCTCTGTGTGTGGTGTGACGCGTAAGATATTGAACAAAGAAAAAATGCGGCTGTGTGTGTCTTTCATTTTCTTCTTCCCGCCCGCGAAGAAGTGGGAAAATAAAATGGCTTTCCCCCAGCGACGTGAGAAGGAGGAAAGAGGGGGGTGCGGAGATCGAGAGAGAGTGAGAGAGGGTGAGAGCAAGCCACCCCCGCTCTCGAGCGCGAGCTAGTTACCTCTGGGAGGCTTGCGGGGCACGCCGGGGAGGGTGGTATCTTGAATAGAACGGCAGCGTTTTGTGAAATTAAATTCTTATCGATCGCTCCGGCAAGGGCCTCAGATAGGACCCCGCCGCTCCCCGAGGGGGAAGGGAGGGAGGTGCCAGAGGGCGGCGGGGAGGGCGGGAAGAGGGGCGCAAAGAAATGTGTTGGCCCGCGGCCTGAGAGGTTTATTTTCTTGGTTTTCTCGGCAAGATGGAAAACCCGAGCGGCGCGGTGACGTATGGGCTGGCATTGTCGCCGCGAGCGCCCCGCGCGGTCGTGCGAGGAACTCACTGCGTCGCCGCCTCTTGTGTTGCCGTTCCCACCACAGTGACTCCCACCACCAGAGTTTCATCCCGCCCTGTCTCAGCGTGTGTCTCTACCATTGCCAGTGAATTGCTCCTCCCACCTACATTGCTGCCTCAGCATCGCTTTGTACCCGGTATCACAGTTTTCGCCCTCTCTCCCGTTGCTGCCACCACTATTACCGTCGCCATCCCATTTCCAGCATCTTCCCAGCCATTGCTATCGCCCCCAGGGCCTGGGTTGCTCTCGCCGCCAGTGGCGTCGCGTCCGGTATTTCGGGCTGCGAGATGGATGGCGACGTTGGCGGTGGCTGCGGCGCTGGGCGGGGCGGCGTCCTCTGCTGAATGGGCGGGGCTGCGGCGCCCGGGCCGGGCGAAGAGCCGAACGGCCGCCGCGTCAGCAGATCGCCATCTGCAGCCGCCGGCGCCGCCCGAACGAATCGTGTAATAGCAGAGGAGCCGCTCGCCGTTTAGAGATTTCGTTACGTGTCGGGCTGCGCTAATATTAATACGTTAACATCGCGTTGTATAGTTGGAGACTAGTGTTTTGTTTCTGTGTTGCGTTTTGTTTTCTTAGGAGTATTCTTTCCCATGGGTGGTGTTTAGCATTACGTTTCCTTTTATTCTTTGCCAACACGTCGACCCTCCGTCATTGTAATTGTGTCTTCACATTTTGTGAATATCACACTGGATCATGTCCTCCCATTTTTATTTTTACTCACTCTACGTTGATTAATTATAATTTGTTTATAGCTGTACATTAAGTTCAGTGTTTTGGCAATCAAATGCTTTATTCTCAAACATATATGTGTGTATATATATGATCACTGTATTTAAGCCGCGAGATGTTTGCAATGCATTGTACTGAAAGTTAAATAACTTAGTATTCAAAGGCATCGTAAGTGCACGGTCAGAAAATCAGGCTTACTAAGTGCACTGGGAACGACCCATGTACGGTGCGTCGTTCTGCTTCTTTCGTTCCTCTCTGCATGGCGAAAGAGAGCTCTTGAAAGAGTTTCTTTCTTCGGTTGGAAACAGTTTTTGCTGTTGACGAAACTGTTACAGGACATGTAAAAAGTAGACATTCTTTGATTTCCATGTGAAGTGCATCATTATTCAGGTTAAAGATCTTTAGATGAAATTTATGGCCGTTGTCTGTGTAGTGTAACTCAGTGGGACCTCACATCGAGATGTTCCAGTATTTCTTTTA